AATAACTGGTGAAGGAAATAGAATTACTGTGATAGATTTAGAGGCTTAGACTATTCAAGCAAGATTCATTTCTAGTCCAACCTCCCTGAAGCAAATGCTCACCTGATATCTGAACAGCATTGGAATTCCATTAGCCAGAAAGAGAGTCTGGGGCAGCCCGTTAGCTCAGTTGATTAGAGCGCAGTGCTCATCACACCAAGGTTGCCGGTTCAATCCCCACATAGGCCGCTGAGCTGCGCCCTCCACAACTAGATTGAAACAACTACTTGACTTGGAGCTGATGGGTCCTGGAAAAACACACTGTTCCCCAATTAAAAAAAAAGAGAGAGTGAGCGAGATAGAGAGTCTGCCACAGATATCCAGATCCTCAGTCATGTAGTCACATGTAAATTATACTGTCCTGGGGCTAACTTTTCAAGCTGTGAGCCATGGAGACAGCTTCCCTTAGAAAGGGCCGTTTGAGCGACAGACCCAATTATCGGCATATCTAATGCAGGCAAGCTTCCTCATCTGTTCTCAAAGGTGCATAGTGGTTATTTCTAAATGGTGAGGTAATAAATGATGTTTGTTTTCTTCTTTATGCATTTTTATATTTCCTAACTTTTCTGTAGTATTCATTTTATGGTTTTAACATGTTATTGAAAAAAAATAATACCCACTATGCAGCAGCCTTCGTGCTTTAAAATACAAACGTGATTTCTCATAGAAGTATGTTTTGTGGCTGCCATGTTTTTAGAGAAAGGTTTGAAATTTTTACTAACCTTGATATCTCTGCCTGTTGCCTGTGTTTTGATGAATTTAGCCTGCTTCTTGGATTCCATGGCAACCCTGGGGCTTGCAGCCTATGGATATGGTATCCGATACGAATATGGAATCTTCAATCAGAAGATCCGAGATGGGTGGCAGGTATGTGAGCCATCTTTTTAAGTTTTGTCATTAAAATACTTCTCCTTCATAGTGCTCTGGATGTTTATAATTTATACTGTTCTGGATGATTTACATTTAACATGGAGCTCCATTTATTT